AAAGTTCCAAACGTACAATAGCATCAAATTAGTCTAAAGAAAAAATAAAGTTTCAAACGTACAATAGCATCAAATTAGTTAGAAATTATTATGAAATCAGCCAAATTAGTCTAAAGTTGAAAAAATATAACCACTCAAAAGGCATAATAGAAATTATTACGAAATCAGCCAAGAGAGAAAAAGAGACACTCAAAAGGCATACTAGAAATTATATATTACAAAAATTAAAGTTCCAAACGTATTGTAATGTACAATAGCATATTAGTTAGGGATAACGTACGTACAATAACATATTAGCTAGGGATACGATACAAGTTCCAAACGTACAATAGCATATTAGATAGGGATACAAGAGAGCGTTGTATTCAGAATATGAATTAGTCTAAAGTTGAAAAAATATAACCACTCAAAAGGCATAATAGAAATTATTAAGAACCAAAGTGAATATATAGCTTTCTAAACAGTAAACAACATATAACCACTCAAAAGGCATAATAGAAATTATTAGGAACCAAAGTGAATATAGCTTTCTAAACAGTAAACAACAACTCAATAACACAATAGCAAAACGAGAGACGAAAATGAGCAGTGGAAATCATTCATTTGCAGATTCATGCGTTGAAGTAGTAATTTGAGATAAGTATCTGAGCTCTTTAATCACTTATTAGGAATTTGAGATAACATATTTGCTGTTCCCTTGTGCTGGATTTTAACAAGAGGCCATAGCACACGTGACATGGATGAAAGCAGCACACATGTTAATGAAAATATCTAGAGGGCTAGTTTTGTATTTTCTCCCTGTGTTTGTTATTTTGGTTATGAACCGCCATACCTTGTATATAACTAGCGTGTAAATTCCTTACCAGAGACTTCTTGAGAATAATACCAGAAACCTTTTCTTTCTTCCTTCTTCACTGATGTAACCGCTTCTGCGTTATGGTATCAGAGCGATCGTACGCCGCCGCCGTCACAGGCACCGGCGAACCCAGTCAAACAGCACAACCTCAGATTCCGGCCAATCAGACACCTCCTACAGTGGCTCCGCAGAGGAGCTCACCGTCTCGAGCTTACAGACGCCTCAATGCAGAGGAATTGGATAATCCCCTCTCCCTTGGCGTGAATGACAACCCTAGCTCTGTTCTAGTCAATCCGCCACTAGCCGGTAGCTCGAATTATGGAACATGGAGTGTTTCCATGCGAATAGCTCTTGAAGTAAAGAACAAATGGGGCTTTATCGACGGAAGCATCGCACAGCCGAACAGAGATCAAGCTCAATATGCTCTCTGGAGACGTTGCAACCTGTTGATATGCTCCTGGCTTTTTCAGTCTGTTCATCACTCAATATCTCACAGTGTGATGCATCTAGACAAGGCCAGAGACGTCTGGGAGGACCTGAGGAGGAAATTTGCGCAGCGTGATGCTCAGCGAATTTCTGTGATTCAGAATGAAGTAACCGGGGACCTGGGGATAACTCAAGAACAGTCACACAAAATAATTTCTATCTTGCAACCTCAAACTAGTCAGACATCTGGTGCAGGAACTAGTGCTGCAGTTTCATTGGTCCCTAGCTTCAATCCCCAATCTGATGAAACAGACAAGCAATCTGCAAATCTCATTAATTCTCTATCTTTATGTCAATCTTCTTGGATTCTTGATTCAGGTGCAACAAACCACATTGTTTGTTCTTTGGACCTTCTTATTGATCATCACAAGGCTAATGGAATTAAGGTTAATCTCCCCACTGGCCAGACAGTTGAAGTCAAACATATAGGGAATGTGAAGCTGAATGATAATCTTTGGTTGAAAGAAGCTTTGCACATCCCCTCGTTCAAGTTTAACATCATTTCGGTCAGTAAACTCATACAAGATACAAACTGCAAACTGACTTTTACATCTGGACAATGTCTAATTCAGGAGACTCATGGGGTGACAGCTGGTATAGCTAAAGAAGATAGAGGATTGTATTTCCTAATGCAAGCACCTATGCTGCCCAACAGACAGTTTGTGTTGCAGTGCAGTGGAAGTGAGCTTTGGCACAAGAGATTGGGTCATTTTCCAATTAGCAAGCTACATTTGTTGAAAAACATTGCAGTTTCTGTTAATAAAACTGTTGCTTGTGATGTGTGTCACTTAGCCAAACACAAACGATCTCCATTCCCAAATAGTACCACTGTTTCGAAAGCATACTTTGATCTTATACATGTTGATATATGGGGACCCTTTCCAGTGCAATCTCTACAGGGAGAACGATATTTCTTAACTATAGTTGACGATTTCTCTAGATATACTTGGATCCATCTAATGAAGAACAAATCCGAGGCAAGGCAGCTTATTAAGAATTTCCATGCCTTTGTTCACACTCAGTTTGGAGTCTTGATTAAAACCATGCGGAGTGACAATGGATCGGAGTTCCATTTGGCAGATTTTTTTTTTTCAGAAAAAGGAATGGTTCATCAACGGACTTGTGTATATACACCACAACAAAATGCTATAGCTGAACGTAAGCACCAACATGTTCTTAATGTTGCGAGGTCTTTGCAGTTTCAGGCCAATCTGCCTTTGAGCTTTTGGGGACATTGCATTATGCATGCTACATTCCTAATCAACAGGCTGCCTTCTTCCGTTATTGATGGATTGAGTCCTTATCAGAAATTATATGGAAAGATCCCAGATCTCAGTAACATCAAGATCTTTGGTTGTCTCTGCTATGCCTCCACATTGCCTCATGCAAGACACAAAATGGCCCCTAGAGGAAGGAAATGCATTTTTATTGGGATTCCTGCTGATGTTAAAGGATACATCTTATATGACATTGAAGAACAAAACACTTTCATATCACGAGATGTGGTGTTCTATGAAGATGAGTATCCAATGGCTAAAGAGAAGAGCTCTATGCAGAGTCTTGAGTTGATGCCTAAGCCTTCCCTACCTGTCATTCCTATCGATACTTCATTTGATTTTGGAGCTCCTGAGTCACACTGTACACCCAAACAGGCTGCTGAGACCTTGGGAGATGTTGATACCCAGCAGTTCAATGATTCTGAATCCGGTAGTCCACACAGTATGCTACAACCTGAGCCACATAATCAATCTGGTGAATCTGTTAACCAAGAGCCTTCCAGTGAAGTCCAGCCTGCCATTTTGCCTTCTGTCCAGCCCAGGCGTTCTGAAAGAAATCGTCATGCTCCTCCTAGACTTGAGGACTACTACTGTGACACAATGGTGGCCAATAGATCCTCACCCCACATTCTATCTAAGGTGATTTCATATAGTAAGCTTACCTCTCCACACAAAGCTTTCTCTATGGCAGTCACCTCTGTTGATGAACCACATTCATACAACCAAGCTATAAAATCCCACCATTGGAAAGAGGCCATGGCAGCAGAAATCAAGGCCCTTCAGGAGAATAATACTTGGCTATTGACAGAGCTTCCCCCAGGCAAAACTCCCATCGGTTGCAAGTGGGTTTACAAAGTGAAATTGAAAGCCGATGGCTCGGTGGAAAGATACAAGGCAAGATTAGTTGCCAAAGGGTATACACAGCAGCTTGGGGTGGACTATATCGAGACTTTCTCTCCCGTAGCAAGGCTCACCACCATTCGAACTTTCTTGGCTCTAGCAGCAGCACGGACATGGCATATTCATCAGCTAGACATAAATAATGCCTTTCTCCATGGCGATTTGAGTGAAGAAGTATATATGCTATTACCACCTGGATTTGAAGGGGAGAAACCAAATCAAGTTTGTAAGCTCTTGAGATCTCTATATGGCCTCAAACAAGCTAGCCGGCAGTGGAATGCGAAGCTTAGCAGTGCACTTATTGGAATGCAATTTCATCAATCCAGAGCTGATCCTTCCCTATTCACAAAGGGAACTGGTAAGGATTTCGTTGCTCTTCTCGTATATGTGGACGACATTTTGGTCACCAGCCCCAACATGTGTTTGATCCAAGAGCTCAAATCTTTTCTGGATAAGACATTCAAGATAAAAGACTTGGGCAGTCTAGGCTATTTTCTGGGAATCGAAGCTCACAGAACCAAAGAAGGACTCAATCTATGTCAACGCAAATATGCGTTAGAAATCTTGAATGAAACTGGATTCATCAGTTGTAAGCCCACAAGCACACCCATGGTTCCAGGCCATACATTGAATAAGACTGATGGCACTCCCCTAACTGATGCAAGTAGCTACAGGCGACTAATTGGCAGATTGCTCTATCTAACAGCAACACGGCCAGACATAGCTTACTCGGTGCAACAATTAAGTCAATTTGTGGACTCCCCAACAGATGTGCACCTGACTGCCGCACACCGCGTCCTGAGATATATTAAAGGAGCTCCTGGCCAAGGGATTTTCTATCCACAGAGCAACAGCTTGCACTTGAATATCTTCTCTGATTCGGACTGGGCAGCGTGCACAGAGACAAGAAGGTCGATTACCGGTTTTTGTATTTTCCTTGGCACATCTCTCATATCATGGAGGTCGAAAAAGCAAGTAACCGTCTCCCGTTCATCCTCGGAAGCAGAGTACAGGGCCCTTGCTGCCACTGTCTGCGAAGCTCAATGGCTTGTGATGTTGTTAAAAGATATGCAGCTCACATTAGACAAACCGGCAACCGTCTTCTGTGATAGCAAGTCGGCCATTGCTATTGCCGAAAATCATGTCTTCCACGAACGTACGAAGCATATAGACATTGATTGTCACGTCGTTCGCGAAAGAGTTGCTCAAGGGGTAATCAAGTTGATGGTAGTGTCCTCATCGGCTCAAATAGCTGATGGCTTTACGAAGGCCCTTCCCATCTCCATGTTCCAATCCTTCACTTCTAAGCTGGGTATTCAAAATCTTCATCCTCCAGCTTACGGGGGGGTAACAAGAGGCCATAGCACACGTGACATGGATGAAAGCAGCGCACATGTTAATGAAAATATCTAGAGGGCTAGTTTTGTATTTTCTCCATGTGTTTGTTATTTTGGTTATGAACCGCCATACCTTGTATATAACTAGCGTGTAAATTCCTTACCAGAGACTTCTTGAGAATAATACCAGAAACCTTTTCTTTCTTCCTTCTTCACTGATGTAACCGCTTCTGCGTTAGATTTGGCTATTAAGAGATCCTGGAGATGTCTAAATCAAGTAATGCTAGAAGAAGAAGAGCAAGATAATGCATGAACCCCTATTATATTGGAGGGAAAAAGACTAGAATGTGTAGAAATGGTTGAGAATTAGCCAAAATGTGTGATGACTTTTTTTTTTTGACAGAAATATGCAAAACTCTATTGCGAGTTGCGTTTTTGAAGGTATTTAATCCGTATTTTTTTTTCGTTAAATACGTAACGTATTGAATACGAAAAGCGCATCTCCCAGTTGCGTTTTCACAATACGTATGGAATACGTTAAAACGCAATTGGGAGATGCGTTTTACGTATTATACTTTTAAATACGTAAAACGAGGATTGGGTGTTGAACGAAGGAATGGAGCAAGAAATCGGATCGAAGTAAGTGGAGAACGAAAAGGGTAAGAGTTTCGCGGTGGTGTCTTGATCGTCGTGTAAAACCATCGGCGTCGACGGGCCAATGTTGAACGCCGCCGTGGCGGCGGCGTTGTTGCCAATTACTGGGTCGGCGGGGAAGAAGATAGTGGGCGTGTTGTTGTTTTTCTGTTCGCCAGGTTTTTGATCAGCCGTGGCGGCGGGAGCTGACGTAACGGCGGCGGCGGCGGTAGGGTTGGGCGGCGTCTTGAGGCGCTTGTTTTTCCGGCTGCCGCCGACGGGGACGTTACGCAAGGTGCCCCCTTCCGTCCAGTGGCGCTTGCAGCCTTTGCAGAAATGTCGAGGCTGGGACTTGTTATAGTTGTTGTAGTAACAGAACTTGGTATTCGCCGAAGCACACCTCGGACACTTCAAAGGCTGCACCGCCTTTTGCGGCGGCTGTACGGCCGCCGGGAGATCCAACCTCGTACTCCCGCTGTCGGGGGATTATCCCACTCAATAATCCCAGGTTGATGATCCCCGCCGGAAACCTGCTTAGTACTCAACCCCATACCAAGCTATTTCAATTCTGATCTTCAATTCGATCAATTCTCGCCGGCCTTCAAATTCGCCGGAAACGGCCAGTACAAAAAAATGACAAAAACGCAACTTCGTTTTGCGTTTTACGTATAATACGTAAAACGCAAACGCAAGTTGCGTTTTGGGGGATACAGTATGCGCTGTAAAATGCAAGAGCGTATTACGTTTTACGTATCGTATTCGTAAAACGCAACTGCCTCTTACGTTTTACAGAAATACATGAAAAATACTAAATACTCCAAAAACACAACTTCGAAAGAAGTTTTGCATATTGTTGTCAAAAAAAAATACGACACATTTTGGGAATTTCGCCTTGTTAACCGCACATTCTAGTCTTTTCCCCTTATATTGGATGCATGCAGCTGAACACCCAACACCCACCTCTTCTTCCTCTGCAATTCCCCGTCACCCATCCCTTTACTCACAGTAGAAAAAACAACAACAGATCAAATTTGCTTAAACTCCACACTCGCATCTATGATCTATCTATATTTATACATATATACATACACACATACATACATTCTATCCTACCTGCAATGGCGACGGCGGAAATGGAGGGCAACTCAATGATCCGATGCGTCGGCTGCTAGCTCATACATATCGTTGCTCTACCGCGCCGCCAGCTTCTCCGCTCGTATAGATATGCTTCACTCTATCCGCCATTAAGCTTACCCCCAAACCCCACAGTATCCCAATCCTAGGATTATATGTGAAAAATGGTTCAAAAAAGCAAAGGAACAAACTGGGAATGGGTTAACTGAAAACGGATCTACATTGATAAATACGAAGAAGAAGAAGAAGAAGAAGAAGAAGGTTGATGGCGACGGCAACGGTGGATTTAGTGGCAACAACAACGGCTGATGGCGACTGCACTAGTGGCTTGGAGGAGAAGAAGAAAGAAAATTCTGGAAGTGAAAACTAGGGGTTACTGGTCATTAGCATAATAGCATATATATTTAAATTTTTGTAATAGAGAAAACGTCTGTTCTTTTAAAGAACTGACGTTATATCATCCGTATAATTTTTTTTTAATATATTTTGTTTTTTTAACATAGGATGTCTATTCTTCAATGAACTCATGTCGTATGTCATATTAAATTATTTTTTAAAAAATGTTTAGAACATACAACGTCGGTTAACATTAAACCGATGTCGTATGTCCCTACGCTAGTTTTTATTACTCCGTATTTATTTATGATTTTTAACATACGACGTCGGTTCATTTTTACGAACCGACGTCGTATGTCATATTAAAATATTTTTCATTTACAAACCGACGTCGTATGTCATATGAAATTATTTTTTAAAAAAAAATTAGAACATACGACATCGGTTCATCTACGAACCGGTGTTATATGTCACATTAAAGTATTTTTAAATAAAAATTACATATGACGTCAATTTTTGTCAAAAACCGACGTCGTAAATAATATAAATTATTTTTACTTTATTTTATTGACATATTACGTCAGTTAGTAAAAAACTGACATTGATGGGGTGATGTAGTATCACTTTTTTGTAGTAGTGGCGTGTGTGATAGAACAATGAACATTCTAGGGTAAGATAATGTATTTTATGTGTTAAAATAATGAACTTTTTAGAGTAAGATAATGTATTTTATGAGTTAGAATAATGTACTTTATGTGTTAGAATGATGTATTTTATGAGTTAGAATAATATATATGTACTTTATGTGTTAGAATAATGAAATTTCTGGATAAGATAATGTATTTTATGAGTTAGAATAATATACTTTGTATTTGAATAATGTATTTTATGAGTTAAAATAATATACGTTATGTAGTCCACACAGCTGGACTACGGTCCATGCACTAATGATTGTGGAAGCTCGGGAGCCTAATTGTTAATCACATGTAATGCCTATGGTTATTGTAACAATCTTTTATTTAATTATTGTATGAACTCTATTAAATTTATAGTAGACTCAGCTAAACTAATTTATAATTTTTGAAATACTCTCATCTATTTAAGGTGAAAATATGCTTACACGTAAAAAAAAAAAGTTATGACTGTTTTGATCTATCTATTTGGATAGATCAACCATTGAAGATTGCAAAAAAATAAAGGTGAAAGGGGGTACGATTAGGGTTAGGGTTGCATTAAAATTTTTTTTAAAAAAAAGGTTAGGGTTAGTTTTATATATATAGTAACCCTAAAAGTTTTCAATAATTATAAAATTAACTCTGTATATTTTTTTACTAAAATTAGTTATCACTTTTTATAGTAAGACATGTTATATATATATATATATATATATATATATATATAGGAGGCCATTCAGGTGCGAACTGCCCGCCCATGAGAGAAATGAGAATTATTCAGCGACGTCCATGTGTCAAGATCTAAGAGATGAGAAAACACTGATTTTTTTTTAAAAAAAATGAGCTGGCATTTTCGTAAATAATTAAATATCAAAGTGCAAGTAAAATGTATTACAAGTGAAAGTAGCAGTTTCATATAGTGGACCTCATTGCATGTAAAATGTATTACAAGTGCATGTAAAATGTATTATAGGTGCAAGTAAAATTTACACTAAGCATCAAAACTAAGTGCACCTAACGTTATAACTAAGTGCACCTAGGTGCATGAGTGTTAACAAGGTAAAATTACATGCACTTGTAAGTGATTTTACCTACACTTTTTACTTGCAAATGTGCACCAGTTACTTGCACTTATAACACATTTACATGCATCTAAGTTCGAGTTATTTATAAAAATGCCACCACGTCGATTTTTTTTTTTTAAATTACATCTGATTCGTTGATCTGGACACGTGCACAACGCTAAATGGTTCTTATTTCTTTCCTGGATGGCTGTTTGCATGAGAGTGTGCCATATATATATATATATATATATATATATATATATATATATATATATATATATATATATATATATAGTGAAAGGTTCCCGTGCGGTTGAATGCTTCCTGTGCGGATGTGCGGTGGATTAATGTGCGTGAGATTTGTACTCAATGTGCGTGAGTGTTGTGCTTAATGTGCCTGAGATTTGAACTTAATGTGCGTGAATGTGTAAAATGCAGCAGAAAATATTGATGTCAGCTTCTTCCCCATCCCTAGTAGTCATTTGCCCCTCCCTGATGATGATGATGCGGAGGTGGGCTATGGTGGTTAAGAATTATGGGAATAATACAACAGAAATCCACACTTAGCTGTTGTGCAAATTTTACTGTGCGTGCGTCATTTATATAAACATT